CTTTGCAGTTTGTTGGTCAACTCTATTTCCACGTACGCATGCCTTAGCCACCTGCTGCATGCGCTGCATTTGGTCTTCACCCATGAAGCACCATACGACTTTCGGGTTCATAGATCGACTCAAGATGGCCAACTCTTGAAGGAAATGAGTTTTGGATGTTAAATCAAAAATTTTGATCCCTTCGTCGACGAAGTGGTCAGCAATTTGTGTGAGAAGCAGCAACATGTTCTCTGTGGTCTGTTCAAACTCCTGCGCTGGTCCCGCTGCGAAAGCGAAGTCATCTTTGTAAAGAGAGATCATGTTTTCGAGGTGAACATTGTGCTTCAACATAAGCCTTATTTGCTTGTGAAGTGATATGCGAGGGTTGCTGAATTGGTCCCACAAAGCCAACAAAGGTTTGCCAAAGTGCCGGATTTCTGAAGCTTTGCCGCGCAGTTTCGGGAACTTTCCTGTTCTGATGAACATACTAAGTTTTGTAAGATAACGAAAAGGAGTTGGCGTCCGATTTGTCTTAAAATAATTTTTCAAAAAAGCCCAGCAAGTTTGCAAGTTCGCGTTCTCATCGCCAGCCATCACCATGGTCACTAGGACAGAAAGCACACTGCCAAATATATATATTGATCGACGCCGAGATATTTGACGTGTACCCAATCATAGGCCACTGTCCAACACGATGCACCTGGAAGGGTAAGTAAAACACACCTTGTGCGACCTTCCCAATTTCTCCAACCTTCTGGGTTCCATCTTGTTGCCCTCCAGGACGCTGTGTCTTTATAGTCTGTCCATGTATTGACACCTGTCCCTGTGCATCTGCAGTGCATACAGGGGCCACGTTGCAAAGAATAAGTAGGTGTCCCCAACATTGCGTTAAAATAGTCCAGGTCACCCGTCAATGCCCACAAAATAGCTTTCCAACCCCCAGCCAACCATTTGCCACTGCGTCGGGCTTCCAATGAGCCTGGTGTGTACCTACAAGTTGGTTGGCATTATGTTTCTTTAGAGTTGGTTCTTGAAAACGTGTTTTCTGTGTTGAAGCTCAGGAATATCAGATTTCAAAAAGAAAGGGGTTCATATTCAAAAACAATAGTAGGGTCATTATAGTTCAGAGCCAAGTTGCGCCTCACCGCGGTGATTTGTTGATGGCCACTTCCCTTCAGCTAATGCTAAAAATGACCATTTGAGTACAGTATAGAATTCAAACAAAGTCCCCGTGGTTTGGTCGCCAACCTTCAGTTTGTCAAAGAACCCCCAAATCCACATCAACATGGACGAAGTGTTTCCATGGCCAACTAGACTGTACCAGCTGTAGTTTGTCATGACTCTGCTCCAAACCTTCCCTATGCCTGTGATAGGGACTCCATCACCATGCACTGCGAGTGGCACCGTGTGCGAAAACCAGTCGGGAGTAGAAGTCATTGGGTGTTCACGAAGTTGGGGGTGAAGCTGCATTGACCGCCAGAACTTTCGCACACGGTCAGCACTTGGGACGATCGCTGTGTTCCACACGTTCTTGTAACTTTCCCAAATGCATGCAAACATTTCATGGGGTAAAAGCACAGATTGGATTGAATTTGGGAACCCTTTCAATGGCACATTGGCCTTGAAGGGCTTTGGGATCTTGGGTACATGTTCAATTTTTGCCATCAATTCAGAATGTATGTTGTTTGCATGCATGCCTTTCGTTCCCAGACCGGCCAGCATTTTCAGATCTGCCAGAACGAGTGGATCTTCTTGTGCTCTTTCTATATCCCTGACTGCCATCTCGGCAATTTGCTGGACCCTTTGAGGTGAGAAGAACCCCCATGCGAAGAGATTCAACAATAGCATGCACAGGGAAGAAGTTTCACCCATAGTACCATCAGTTTCGGGTTCTCCTCTTCGGTTGTAGAGCCTTTGTTGCAATCCCCCACCACGACGCCTTTTTCGGGGACGCTCCATTGCATGAACAAACTGCACACAGTCAATTTGAATTCAAATTGTAACAAGAGTGACATCCTTTTGTATGAGATCATAAGCAATGATGGCATCTATTTTTGGGATTCAAGTTTTCTCCAAGGCAATCATCAACTGAAGAACTTGTGTTACCTTGAGAGAGGACAGGAGGGAGTGCAAACTCATGCCAGTGGACGCATACATCTATATACATATGGATCTATTTACTGCACATGTGTATAAACATAGATCTATTTATGTGCATTCCAACACATGAATAAACTAACAAAATGGGATATAAACAAGCATGCAGACTCAATTGCATTGAAGATCTATGCTTGAACAATATGTCCCTGAAGGAAAAGTTCATTTTCTTTTTTGCAAATTCGTATGTGTTCAAACTTTCTGTGGAGCACAAGTGGCACATAGAGCTGCCTCAAGTGATCGGCCGCTCAGCTGCAGTGATTCATGAGAAACCAGCGCAGGATTCCAGAAACCCCACATTTTGGGTACCCCATTCTCAGCGATGTGAATGCAACCTTCTTTGACCCAGTTGGGCACTGGATGGAACATGTTGCTATCTCACTTGTAATCCCCAATCAAACAACTCTTTGAGAAAACATGTTACTTGGCACAATGTTTTTGTTTTGACAAGCTCTTTCATGTCCTGTGGAAAGTTTCTCAAAATCTCTCAAGGTCACTCATGGTTTCACGTTGATCTCTCAAAGTCTCTCAAGGTTTCATGTTGATCTCTCAAGATCTCTCACCTCGACAATGGTTCTCTGTTCAACAGGGCAAGTGTCAAGAACAGAACACAGAAACTATTTAATGAATAGCAGCATCCATAGCTATTGTAGGCAGCCTTTCAACCTCACTCACAGATTCTTGGGGTTGTAAATCCTGAAAGTTCTTTGCAACGAAAATTGTGCGTGACCAAAAACACTAGCATATGTGTGAAACAACCAGCATCCGCTATTGTTTTTTTCAGCTGTTAACTTCATGTTGCTTGCTGGATCGGTCACTGTCACACCAAAATGTGCGGGCCTCTGCATTCGGAAAACTATGCTACACTCAGTTTGGTTCAAAGTTGGCAACACAAGCCTCAAAACTATCCAAACTGGGTCAGGACAAAAATCCCTTTAGGATTTGGCCTTGGCACGAGCCTTGGCCGCCTGAATCTCACCGTTAAATTTCTCCACATCCTGAGCAATGTGGCCGATAAAGTTTTCCAGGCTCGCTTTGTTCACAGAAGCATCCGAGGGGAGGTCATCAAACATCAGAAAGTTGTTGAGGTTCTGGATGTGGGTGCTCAAAGTCTTGTACCCCTCCTTGACCAAGCCCTGAAGATCTGCCTGTGCAATCAGTTTGGACCCGTCCCTGAGAAGACGCTCGCAAGCGTCTTTGGCCTTCGTTGCCAATTTTTTGATGTTTTGAGGAATGCCCCCGTTCTCATTCATGAGCTTCTCATCGGCCTGAAGGAATGCCGGAACATGGACCTTGGAACAGTATATCCATGAGAAACTTTCAAAGCAGTGACATGCCAATATAGATTGAGAATTGAGAAGTTTGAACTTGAACTTCGAACCATGAGGGATCTGAGAGAGCATGTAGCTCAGGTAAATAAGAAGCACGATGATGATAGCACATGGATCTTGAAAGTGCAACATGAACCTGTGTATGTTTCTGTGAGTGTGTCCTTTTTGCTTTGTTTCCGGTTTTCGTTTCAAGAAAAGCAAAAGGGCACGGAACCTTGAGAGACCCTGAGAGGAGTGACATGCCTATTGAAATGGAACACTTTGAAGTTGAACTTACAACCATGAGGGATTTGGGAGAGCATGCAGGACAGGTAAATATAACAAGAAGCATGAGGATGGCACAACATGGCTTTTGGAAGTGCAACATGTGTCAACCCTTAGCTTGAATTGCAGTTGCACACATGTGTTTGTGAATGTCCTTTTTCCTTTGTTTTTTATTCTAAAAACAGCCAACTGGTAACCGAACCTTGAGAGACTTTGAGAGGAGTGACAAACTTACTTAAACTTTTGACCAGGAGGGTTTGTTTGCACCCAAGGATATTGGAATGTCAAAGGCTATCAAGGTGGTTCTTTTTGGAGCTTTCCTTTCTGGGTCTTGGGGGTTTGTCGGGTGATGCATAAAGGTTTCAGTTGGTCACATATTCCTGGGCTTTTGCTTTCTTTACTACTTTTGGTTTGGGTTTGGAACTCCTTGACAACCTTTTCAACCTTGAGTTGTTTTTTCTAGCAAGCAAAATCTTTTCCAAGAATGCCCAAATCCTAGCCCCAGTTTGTATCCCGAAAGACTGACCTAATGTGAATGAAACAAAGTGACCAACCCAGTCTTGCGGCACTATCCCCACAAAAAAAAAAACTTGCTAAACAACCCTTTCCAATCACTGAACTTTAGGATCCTGACCCGACCCAGCAGAAGCCTTCGTCAACTGGAATTTCCACTTGAGCTTGCTCATCACATCGGCCATTGCATGGGCCTGCTCCTTTGACACTTTTTTGGTGCCCTCCACACGCTCACCCTCCTCATTGCCCCGGGCGATTTCCTTTTTCAACTTCCGGAACTGCAAGTACTCAATGTTCGAATCAGTGTCAGTCTTTGCAACCACTTCCCCGTTGTCAATGGCCTTTTTCAGCAAAACTTCGTTGCCATGGAAATTCTTGGCCAACATCAAGGTGCGAGGGATTGCCTCCGTTGTGTCCTTGGCCACTGTTCTTTGGAACACCTGGCGATATTCCTGGAACTCATGTTTGTCGGTCATCAAACGGTATGTTCCATCGCTGGTCTTGGAGAAGAGCTGGTTGATGAGCTTTGTCTGGTACGCACGTGCTCCTTCCTTTGACTTCTTGCTTTCAACCTGGTACATGTGGACTATGTGATCTGGGAGTGACCCAGAAGAAAGCATCTTGTGAAACTTTTGCGCCTTCTGCTTGTCCCTGACTTCCACCTGCTCGTTTTCATCTTCCTCCTGCATGCCATTCTGCAGCTCACTCACAACATCCTTGATTGATCCCGAAGGCCGTTTCATGCTCGTTGGCGGGAGTGCGGAAGCCGGGCGCTTCAAGCTAGGCATTGCTGTTTAGTTCGACTAGCTAGAGTTCTGGTTCCCAGTTCCAGGTGAAATTCAAGCTGATAAGGCCACAGTGGAGGAAAACATAAACTTCCACTAATACAAGTTCAACTCAAGTAGGCAACATCGCTCATCAAAACAGTGGCTGCACCTGTTGTCATGAATCAGCAAAACATTGTCAAAACAAAAGAAACTTTGTTTGATTTTTTGATACATTGGTGTGATTTTCACAGTCGCCATCGTAGTTTGGTAGAAAGTAGGTGGTAGTTTCTACTCGTAGTTTACTCATAGTTTGGTAGTACTTTGATCGTACTTTGACAGCAGTATAGCAAAACACATGGTATTTACAGCGTTTTGTGAAAGTAAACTATGACCCCATGTCAAACTACGACCAAACTACGAGCAAACTACGATCAAACTACGAGTATAAAGTATGACATACTTTCTAGCAAACTCCGACCCCTGGTCAAGAATCAACCAATGACAACCAAGGAATCACAGTACAGTCCAATGCGAGAAACAACCATCCTCACACTAAAAAACTCTCAAGGTCTCTCACACGTGAAGGCAGTTTCCATGTTCATGCACACTAGTTGTTTGAAGTCCGTTCAAGTACTTGGTCATGAACAATTCAATTTGACATTCAACAGCTGCAGCACACAGTCAGTGTTTGTGTCCGTTCCGCTTCGCAGTTGTGTTCTTGCTGTCAGCAAAATTGCTCCTATGTCTATGGAGACTTAATACAAAAAAGTAGGCTTTGTGCCTTCCCAAACCTAATCTACTGCCCATCCTTCTTCTTCCTCAGCTTGCGCAAGCGATCATGACGTGCCATGCGCCTGGACCTGCGACTGCCTGGGTTAGGGTCAGTGGAAGAACGACTTTCACCCTGCCCATCATCATTCTCCCCACCCTCCTCAGCAACAATCACAGAGGGTCCATCCGAGGACGCAGGCACACTTTGGTTCCCCAAAAGGTTTTGGATCACGTTCATCAGCTCAAAGGAGTAGTCGCTCACGGAACCACGAGTCTCCACATTGAAGTTCTCATCCAAAGCTAAGAAACCTGATATCTCAGGCTCAGTCTCTGGGTCAGATGCTGCTTCATCTTGTGGGGAATCATTTTCATCGATTTCAGTGAACTCTTCAATGGGGTCGTCAGAACCAGTGAACTCTTCAATGGGGTCGTCAGAACCAGGACATGTGTCATCCTTGGGTGCAAGCTCCAAACCATCACCCTGAGAATCACCCTGAGAGTCAGGAACCTGAGACTCAGCAGGCTGGGAATCAAACCGAGAGCCAGGAGCTGGAGAGTGGAGAAGCTGAGACTCTTCTATGGTGTCGTTCTGGGTTGCGAACAAGTCTTCAGGGGTGAGTGCTCCCATGATCTCAGTTTCAGCATCCAACTCTGGCGCTTGGATTTGAACAGGAACTAGGCCAAGCTTGGTTTCAGGTTCTTGTGGGCCCTGGGAGTTGGAAGCCATTGGCAGAGCCTTGTCCGACATGGTCAAAACAGCGGAGCTTGCCAGGTCTAATGTGAGCACAGGTTTGAGCAAACTTTCAATATGGTCACGGAAACAATGTGTTCTGATTCCAAGCATCCTTTCAACTCCAATCCCATGAGTGTTGCTAATCTTCCACTTGGGTTGGTCCCCAAAAAAAGCCCCCCACAAGTCCCAAAATCTTTCATAAAATGCAGGGAAAACACTGTTTTGTGGGGACTTGTGGGGGCCTTTTTTGGTGAACCAACCCAAGTGGAAATTTACCAATGAGTGTTCAATAGGTTCAAAACTTCAACGTTCCCGTTCCAACCTTGAGAGAGAGAGAGAGAGAGGAGAAGAAGAAGAAGAAGAAGAGGAGTTGCATATCTTGAGAACATGGAACATGGAACTGTACAATTGGAACATGGAACTTGAACCCAAACCTTTGAGATACCTTGAGAGGAGAAACCGTGAGACAAAATGAGTGAGATGCAACTGTGATATGGCTATGGAACAAACTTGAAAGTAACATGTCACCTCTCACTCCCAAGGTTCACTCTCAAAGTTCACTCTCAAGGTTCTTGGCAATACTGAAGGTTCCAAGCTTTCAGACTCAGTTGACATACTCTCAAGGTTCACTCTCAAGGTTCACTCTCAAGGTTCACTCTCAAGGTTCTTGGTAATACTGAAGGTTCCAAGCTTTCAGACTCAGTTGACATGTACACATATGATGTTACTGATCAGCTAAAACATTACTGTTCTCCAAGTGGCCCTTCCCAATCCCCTACACACACGCACACCCGAAGCATTTTTTTCTTGAGCGCACAGCAAATGCGAGTGCTTACAGCATTTGTTGCTGCCAATTCCTTGCCTGGAATCGAGTTGACATCCAAGCTTCTACTCCCTGTCTTTTTTCTTCCCCTTCCGGCTCCTCGATCTGATTCTCTTTTTTGACTTATCCTTCTGTTTCGCTTTCTTCTCACTCTTCTCTTTCTTCTCCTCCTTGTGCTTCTTTGTTTGCCTGTCTTTTGGGCTGCTGTTTTCATCTGACTCATCAGGCTCTGCGTATCCATCCCATGCGGGAGTTGTCAAAGCCTCCATGAGCTTGGTGTAGTAGTCCTCGACCGCTTCCTCATTGCTCCCAACTTCTTTTTGTTCTTGTTTCACTCTACTTCCTGCTTTGCAGACAGATCCATGTACGGTTTCTTGACTGCCTCGTTGGTCCAATGTCTGCGGACTGGGGTGCTGGGGGTTTGGCTGTATGACGACGGGCGGCCTCCAGGATGGAGGATACATGTAGCCAGGCATTGCAAATGGTGGTGGCACTGGGTGGAAGCAAGGCAAAGGATGCCTGGGCATGGGCACAGGCGGCGGAAACATATGGGGTCCCATGTGCGGGTGCATCGCTGGATGCAATGGTGGGGGCTGCGATGGGAATGGCATCTGGGGATGTACTGGTGGATGCCCTGCCTGACATGGGGGATGTGCTGGTGGATGCGGCGGGGAATGCATCGGTGGTGGTGGCTGTTGCACCCCGATGTCGGGCTCTGGGGACCAAGGTTCTTGCCTTTGGTCGTGGTCTTCCTCCTTTTCGTCTTTCAAATCTGCATGCCATTCATCCTGTCTAGAAAAGTAGCCCCCATTTCTCCTAGGATAAGCCACATCAGCTTCTAAGGGAAATTTGGCCAGGCCAGAAAGCATATGGCCATGCAATTTTTGAATGGCATCTTGCACTTGTTCTGCAGTCTCGTAGGACAAGAAGCAATTGATTGAACGCTTTGCATCGAACAATCCTTGTTTGTTCAGCTTCACAAAGTACAGCCCTTTGGAGGCATCAGCCTTCTCTAACTCATCCATCAGTTGCTTCTCGGTGACCCCCATGTAGAGGTGCTTCAGGAAGACGCGGTGGGGCGCTGCATCATAGGGTGGCATGGTGAAAAAACGTTTTTTTGTTCAAACTTGAGGTGAGCAAAATTAGACTATATAATATTGTTCAAGCTGTGATGGACACATAAAATTCAGTGAATGCTACACTTGAGTAGTGAAAGACAATGTCTCTTGACCATTCCATATGAAAATTGAAGCTATGTCTAACTGCCAGTTGCACAACAGAATGATTTGATGGGAAATCGCAATAGTTTGCGCATCACAGTAGTGTGCAAAACATGAGATACCATGATGAAATCTCTGTGATCCTCGAAGCTGATTGAGACTGCACATGCAAAGAAAATGCGGATACTATAGTCATCACCAAACTCTCACATATTGCGCTGTAGAACTCTGATTTTTGATCACCTCAGCAACTCTGTCCGTTCAGGAACTCTGTCAGTTTCAGTTTTCAGTTGCTCCCTGTGCATGTTCAAATCAAAAACTGGTTCGGCTGGGAAAAAACAAGATGAGGTCCAATGACTTGAACAAACTTGTTTGTGCTCATGAAGATTGAAATCACATGGATTAACCTAGGTTCCCTCTCTCTCTCTCTCTCAGGGTTCCAGCTTCTAATTTTCCTGTTGGTTTGGCACCCCAAAATCTGACCCCCACAACTCTACCCCCACTAACCTTTTTCCTACAGGTTTGCTACATGTTTAGTTGGTTGTGGGGGTCAGATTTTGGGGTGCCAAACTAATAGGAAAATTGTTAGTTCCAGCATCGCTCAGTTTGAAAGCAAAAACCCACTTGTGCTCACACCTGTTCTTCCCTGAGAAGCTCCCCCAAAGCAATCCCCACAATTTTCTGGGCGCACACACGATGAGACATTCATATCAATCTAGCCGCAGTCTTGATCCATGTTCAGGTTCACTGGTCCATTGACTGAAAACAATCAAATACAAAGGTAAGAAAACTTGGCACAACTCTTCTAACACGTTCAAGATAGCTGTTGTGAACACACACTGAACGTTGTCACCGCAAAGACTGCTCACATGGCCTAGAAACAAAACCTAGTCAACATCCTTAGGTGATGTAGCTGTCCCATCCTCAGTGTCCATGGCCATCTCCTGGTCCATGATAGCTTTGGCTCCTGTTTTTTTCTTTTTGCGTTGCTTCCTTTTCTTCATGGTCTTTGCAACCTTTGGATGCTTTGGCAAGGCTGTGCTTTCTGCTGGGGATGCTGCTGCTGCTTTTGCCTGTGGTTTTGATTTGGCCTTGGTCTTGGCCTTTGCTTTGGCCTTGGCTAAAGGCCAGGCCTGGTCGAATTCTGCGCCTGCCATCCTGCCAGCCAGTCTTCCTACTGCTTGGGCATCGAGTTTTGTGAACCCACCCTTCATGAGTACTGTCTCGCACCTGTGGTAGGCATTGCTAGTGGTCCTTTGCCTTCTCACTTCTCTGGTAAATTCTTCAGGGCTAAGTTCATGCGCCCTTTTCATGGCCAGCTCCACGGTGTTGTCAGGAATGTAGGTTTTGAGCACCTCTTCATCCTCCTCATCAGCCAAAGTGGAAGTTGCCGCACTTGGCCGCTTCAAGGGAACCATGTCAGGCTCATCCTCCTCGTTGTCCTGTGTTTTGCTACCCTTGCCCCCTGATTTGCTCTTTTGGATTTTTTTTTTGCTTTGCCCTTGCTGTTTCCTTTGGCCTTTTTTGGGGCATTGGCGTTCAACCTTTGGTTCTGGGATTTTCCATCTCTAGAAATGGGTTGTCCTTGGGCAGCGGACTTCAGCAACTCTTCCTCCTCAGGGGACATTTGAAGTGCAAACATGTTTTTCCTTTGTGGGGAATCTTCATATGCTTGATCCCGTGTTTGCCTTTCAAACGTGCTTTGCCTTCCTGCACTCTGCTTCAAATAAGTGATCTCGATTTCTTTCTCCTCATCCTCATCATGTTGATCCAAGATGGAATCAAAAATTGATTCCAATCTTCTCTTGCTGCTCTCTGCTGTTGTCGCTCTGGTCTCAAACTGTTTCGTGCCAGAACTGGCAGATGGCAGGGGTGTGGGGGATGGTCCCGGTGTGTCTTGGGACGTTTGGCTGTCTTCAGCTTGGGCAGGTTGGGGCTGGATGAGGGCAAGCTGTGTCTCTGCGGCTGCGTCGATGTTGATCAAAGCCAGTACGGCTTCTAGGGCTTGCTGCTGATTTTGGTCACATTTCCTGAATGCTTGTTCTTTCTTCTCTGAGTTCTGCCGCAAAATCCTGAAGTGAGAAAGACCCATCCTGACAATGTCATCGATTATGTCTGCAAAGTCTTCGCTTGTTTTTCTTGTGGTGTTCACTATCTTTTTGTTCTCCAGTAGTCGTACTATAGCTTGCCGATGTTTCTTTGAAGAGATGATTGTGTTTGGGGCCACCTCGACATAGGACTTGAAGAGTGGATTCAAGGAAGCTAACCAACTTGTAGGGCACCCGCTCTTCCAACTGGCACAAGCCGGAGGGGACAACAGCTTGTGAATGTTTGGTTCCTGCTCCTCAGCTGCAAACTTCACCAAGGGCTGAGCGAGATCCCCAACACCTACGGTTGGATCCGCCACAAGCCGAGCGCGCGGTTGGCGCAACATGCAGCATACACAGGACACCAACACTTCGAAAAACAACTATGTCCCTGCCTATAGAGCCCAAAGCCTTGTTGAAAATACTTGGAAAAATGACGCCAAACACAAATACATAAACCCATGAGATTGGTTAAAATTTCACATGGTCCCCAAAAGTCTCTCAAAGTCTCTCAAAGTTTTTAAGGGTCCCTCAAAATCCCTCAAAGTCGCTCAAGGTCGCTCAAGGTCTCTCAAGGTCTCTCAAGGTCTCTCAAGGTCTCTCAAGGTCTCTCAAGGTCTCTCAGGGTCTCTCAGGGTCTCTCAAGGTCTCTCAAGTCCATTTTTGGCCTTTGCCACTTAGCTGACATCTGCAGAAACTGTGGGGTTGACGTAGCTGGCACAAGCTTGGTATCGAAGAAGGGTGACTTCGATGCCGTTCCAACTAGGTCTAGTCCTGACATAATGTCGCTTGGTCCCAGGTCGGGACACCCAGACTCTGCCAACAACTTTCGGAAGAGTAACAGCTTTTTACCCTTTAGCACTTTTTGGGCATGCAATGGAAGGGTTGCAAGGTATCTGGCTTCCTCTGTCACCAGTTCTTTTGACCAGCGGGCTAGCTTCTTTGCAAAGTCTAGGCGCTGCGCTGCAACATGGCTTTTACCCTTTGTGAGCAGTTCAAAAAGGTTAGACCTGGTCAAATCTTCAACTGCAAATTTGTCATCAAACGGATGCGTTAATGAAATGGCCCTTTCAATAAACTGCTCCGGCGTATGGTAAATGCCATACTTGCTTCCCTCTTTTTCTAGGCTTTCCTCCCCGCAGTTACCCCCTGAAGATTGTGGAGGAAGGAGTTTAAATTCATCAAGTGGATGAGGTGTTTGATTTGTTATGCAGCGGTATTCAGGGATCAAGGTTCGTTGGTGTTTATTTTGAGTGTGGCCGACAGTGGGTTTTTTCGGGGGTGAGAGGTCAAAACATTTAGAAAATTTTGCATGAAGTGCCTGGCAAAGACGGATGCACAGTAACCATGGGTACTCACTTTCGGCCGCGGTGTCAAAGGTCCAGGTGCCAAAGGACTTGGTAACCTGGTAGGGCTTATGCTCGTGGTTTCCTGGGCAAGGCTTGGCCAGATGATTGTAAACATCATGGGTGCTTCTCCAAGTGGTTTGTTTTGGACGTTCGCCTCCATGTGCACAGTTACTAAACTGCACAGCAAACATGTTTGTCCAGGCCTGCAGGAAACGCTGATCATTGAGTTGTTTGACATATACAAAAAGGACATTCCACATCCAAGAGTTGCTAGGGTTCTCCAAGCTGAAAACACATGACAAAGTGACGGCCAGGACAAACAGGTCAATGGCAAATTTTGCCAGTTTGTTGGCACTTTCAACCCTTTGTTTTTCGTGGTAGGTCAGCCCTGGCATACCAAGAGGATGGGAAGCATTTCGCAATGGCCTAGGCTGTGGTGCTCCCTTTGCTACTAGGTGAGCGGGTACGGGACGCTCTCTGGCTCTACTCCCTGTACCGCATGGCAACGCTACATGGATAGCTTGTGGCTTCAACTGTCGCAGGGTATCAAGGAGACACTGTTGTTCCTCTGTGCGCACCAAATCTAAGGTCAAAACTGGGCACTCAACTTTGTGTTCATTTCTAGGTCCATCAACCGGCAAAACTGCAAAACCTGACTGTTTGGCTGCACGGCTTAGCCGTCCACATCCTGCAAAAACTTCACAAAAAAGCGCCCTTTTGGAGCTTGATTCGTCTGGAAAAATTGGTAACGTGTCATGCATTGGAGTTGGAGTCTTATGCACTGTCTTGGCTCGCTTCTCTGGTGGCGGCTCCAAATTATCCCCAAAATGGGGTGCTATTTGTCACGAATGGTCACATGTGGAAAAAGGCTTCGGCTTGAAGCACTGCCAGCACACATGGAAACCTCTCTTGCACCTTTTTCCCGGCTTAGCAAAGTCACAGGTCCCTCTATTGAAGGTATTGCAAATTGGTTTTCCCTGCGGTGTCATTTGATGACAATTTGGCGGCAAGGGCTGTGCTCCAACATTGTAAGAGGGCTTGTTGTAGTCCTTTCTGACTTTGCCATTTCCTTTGCCCTTCCCCTTTGGCTTTGGGGATGGGGCATCGTCTGCATTGGGTCTTGATGCTCCTTTTACCATGGGAATGAGGCAAAACTGCACTTCTGCATTGTTCGTGCATGTCTCAAAATGGGTTTCCATTGGTTTGGACCCATCTGGCTGTTGTGCTAAGGCTCCTCGGGTTTTCTCAGCAAGCTTTCTGAAAAGCATCTTGTCAGCTTCTTTTAACTGGTGCATTGTGACGGCCATTGCATTTGGAGCTGGTTCTTTTTGCAGAACTTCAAAAATGCGCTCATGCCAAGCTTCCATGGTGGTGTAGGCGCACAGCTGGGCAAGGTCAAATGCTCGGGCCCTACGGTTTAGAGCTTGTCTGACTCTCATTTCACCTGTCACATTTGCGTCAGGGCTCTGCGTCTTTGCCGCGACTTTCACTGACCCTTGGCTATCTAAAGAAAATTTTAGATCCTTTTGGCTATGAGTGACCTCGCTGCTTCTGCTGGTGAGCTTTTCCCATGGCGTCCATTCCAGGGTCTGGTCAGTGGCCATTTGGCAAACTGCGTCCACCAATTTGTGACTGGGCTCAGTCTCTGGGCTAAAATGCAAGCCTGGCAGTCTTTTCTTCTGATCTTCCAGTCTAGCATTCCGTTCTGCTACGGGCATTTTGGTTGGCTCGGCAGTTTCATCCCTTTCGGAACGTTGCTTGAACTCGTTCACTGCTAATGTGGAAGACTCGAAAAACAACCTCCTCAAAGCAATGGTCTCTGCATTTGTGGGTGCACGCCCCATAGTGTCTGTCAGGGCTGTGATCAGCGGGGCCTCATCTGCTTGACCTGGCTGATAGCTCGTAATGAAGGCATATGCTCCAAAGCTTCTCACTCCACCATTTTTCAGCCGGTCTACAGCGTCCTCTGGCAAGCCAATTTCAGTGGCCCTCGCCCTGAAAGCTGCCTCGGACTCCAGACCCGTGGACATGGGTACTAGTATTTGCAAGATAAAAAAGTGAAAAGTTCCTCTGCCATCCAAACGTTTCTCATGATGTGGTTTGGTGAAGGTCTCACTTTTAAACCTTTCCTAGCATTAGGTGGTTGAAGATTTTTGGTGAATAAACTTAGTCGTGTCGTGGTTTCATGCGTGATGGTCCACACCATTTGTGCTGCTTGTTTGCTTGAGCCTGGCATGCATACACTCCAAAAATCGGCGTGGTGATGATTCCAGCTGCCAGGATTATGGATTCCTGGTTTCGCCTGATGGAGTCATGCCAAACTTGAATGCTGGGTTTTCTCCAAATTGCAAACATGCCAAACTCTCATTGACTGACATCGCGATGGACTCAGAAACGCATTTTTTAACTCGGGATGCCACGCACTTTTGAGGGGAAGGCGTCAATCATCTGAGCTTGACCATCCATCCAAAGAATTCTCCACTCGGTGAGCCATCACTTGAACCGGCGGTGTGGGTACACTCCAGCTAGACAATTGGACTGGCACCATCAGTCTGCTTTCGGTCACTGCCAGGGCCAACTCCATCCGATCCACATAAACTGCAATGCAACACATAGCAAAGAGAAAAAAAAAAACTGTTTCCAGTCCAGAAGTTGCATAATTCCAGAACTCATGCCTAAAAGGCTCCAGATCACCTGCAGGAAAAAAGAGCTTCAGAAACTCCCAGTGAATCTGGATAAACTGCAAATCAGCTTGACCGGGGCAACAATCTCTCACAGGAGGAGCAACGCAAAGCCGCTAGTCCAACCAACGGTAACAGCCGTACCCAGGTTGTACCACTTGTATCCCGTCGCTGCCCTCTCAGCTTTCCAAGCTCCAACAGCAGTCTTGCCCCTCCTTCGAGGGTTTGCCATCCCCGGTAGGTTGCCCTATAAAGAAAACCGAAAGAGAAATTCATGCACACATGGCTGCCTGTGTGGAAAAATTTGTTGTGATGAAAATGTTTGGATGGTGAGTATGCTTGTTGCAAAATCGAAGATATCAACCACGAGGGTTGACAGGCCCATTTGCGGCATTCACCATTTTCTGGGTTGAAGAGCCCATGTTCGCTCAACCTTTTGCTTGAGCCATGCACTGTTGGCGGTAATCACCCGCTTGATGTGCAGCTCTGATGGGTCATGTCCTGCCATGGTTGCATGTCAAACACACTGGACGTTGACAGGATGAAAACTGGTGGTTTCTTTTTTCCTTACGCCCTGAAAGCACTGCAATCTTTAAGACCTTGCCATTTTAGGCATGGTTCCTCTGCTTTGCCATAAACACCATGTTGGCATCTTCTGCAAGATTCACTTGCGGCACTGCATGCAAATTGGCATGTCTGCATGGTTCGATCCCTCTGGGACGCGCCCATAGTTCTTCGTAGTTCTTCTCCCACACACAAATCTGTGGGGGTCTCGCTTCGAAGCAATGTGGGCAACACCAGAGAAGGTATGGACCTTCAGTCTCCTCAGCTCGTCCAGCGGCAAATCATCCCACGGTGCCCTTTGGCCCATGTTGCATGGCGTACTCTCGACGTCCTCTTGTCTAGGCTCGTCATTGCTTAAGTCGGCTTGTTGACTCTCTGAATCTGTCAGCTCAACCTGGTCTGCAATACGTTCAGCTCTGGGGGCATCTGGTTTGAAGTGTTTGTTTTCCGTGTCCCTGGTCATTTGATAAATCACCACTGCAACACGTGTCAGCTCATCCCTGGAGTACACAACAGCTGACTGGTTCTCTTTTGGACAAATGGTGGCCCATAAAAAGTCTGTCTGGGATTGGAAGATAGCGTCCTTGGAGGTCCAGGAGAGGAGGGTGCAGTTCAAGGAGTGGCATCCAATCCGAGTCAACTCCTCCTCACTGAAACCTGAGGAGGCCATGAACTCTTTCAGGAACAATTGAGCCTCGCCCGTCGTCATACGCCGTTTCAACCAGATCTGATGATGCAGAGATGTCCAAGTCTGGAGGAAAGCTGAGCCTGTCGTAGGATATCCATGTTCCTTCAAAAACTGCATGTATCTGCTAATGACACTCTCTGTTGCACACATAGCAAGGCCTATGCCATTCTCAATGCTCCAATTGTGAAACCTCCATAAAGCAGAGGACCTCTTTGCAAGAGTGGCTACCGCCTTTCCAGCAAAGGCATCGCTGAGTGAACGAGACCATTCTGCTTCGTCTGTCAAAAGGCTAACACCTGAGACGAGGGAGCGTCCCAGTTCGGTAGCTGCTGGATCACAGAGCAGCAGTGTCTTGAACTTCTTCAAGGCTTCCCATTGCACGTGGTCGTCCGTTTTAACCAACTGGGAGTGTCTCAAACGGTTGGCCGCCATATTTGTGGCCAATCCTGAAACTGGCAAAGCATTGCCTGTATCATGTGGTGTAACTACTGCAGGCACCATTCCCAGGCTTGGCGGCTTAAACCAGTGCTCAGTTTTCATCCAATCAGGGGACAAAATGTCAAATATTGGTGCTCTTGACTGAGATGGCACTGCTAATCTCTTCAATTGTAGCCCAACATCAAAGAATGCAGGATGCATTTCGAAAGGTGAATCCATAGGGGCTCTGGCTTCAGAAGGAGCCATACTGCCTCGAGGGTCAGACTCTCGCCGTTCTTCCAGTTGAGCATCAGAAAGGTCTGAGCTCTCGCAGTCTGACGGCATGTCCATTGCTACCCCCGACTCTCACGCAGCATGGGGCTAGAAAAAGAAATTTCTAAACCCTCCTACCCGCCCAGCCAGAGCTGCACGGGATGAAATAAAAACAAGCCCAAGAATAACAAATTCAAACATGCGTGTGTTTGAACAGATCTCTTGGAAAGCACATGATTTCCTAATGTTAGGGTATTGGCATCATGTATATGTTAAAAATAGATTCCAGAATAAAGATAAAATGTCAACAGTGACCGGAGGAGATATTCTGGTAAATACGTTTGACAATAGACAGATTTCTCAGTATGATTGAGAGTATACCGAGCAGGTGAAACAAGTGTTCATCAGAACGATTTCGACGGTTTGTTCGTTGACACTAAGGGAGAAAGTCAGTGTGGGGTTCTGTTTTACGCTTCCGTGCCTGAGGTGGCACTTTGAAAACTAGTAAAGACAGTTTTATCCCTTTCAGGGAGATGCACCTTCTTCTAGAAAACATGGCGCGATCTTGCTGGCCCAGCTCGCCGGAAACCACGCCAATAAGGCCATAGTACCACTAACCAAGTCGACCCCAGTGTGACGCCGCGAGTGAGGCTGGTTCGTGACAACAACTTTGACAGGGCCACTGGGAGCACGTTTCCGAGCACGTTTCCGATTTACCTCTGCACTCTCTCTGGCTGCCACAATGAGCTCAGAGAGGATTGGACGAAACCAGAAAGTAGCATATAGCAGGCACTCCGTCTCTGGGGTGGCCAGGGACTCCGCTCTTCGAGTGAGAGAGCAGATGTACTGCGAGAGCGTTTCGGCCAGCCGGAGGGTAAAACTCCGGGCAGCATGTGCAAAGACCTCCTCAACCGTCTCAATCATGCCCCGCAGCCACAGTTCTGACGCAATCGTCATGAAAAGGCGAGCAAACTTTTCCTACACTGAAGTTGGGGAGATGGTAAGCTTAGCTTGCAGCCACAGATGTGGAAGGGCTCCAAGGTTATCAGGATGATAGAAAACACTAGCGCTAGGCTGCGAACTGCTGATCATAGTGGCCAACTTGTCCGCAGCACCTTTGATTTCCTGTTCCGTAGGATCGTCCATGGCTGGTGGGATTGGCGGACACCATGGCTCCTCTGGGGGTGTAGTCTCATCATCATCTTCACTTTCAGCCTCAGTTTCACTTGCAGTGGTGGCTTGCTCTTCGTCCGACGAGGGATCGTCCACCTGCTCGCCAGCCCCTTCCGGACCTACCAGAGAGCTCTCTCTCATGTGTACTTGCAGTGCAGGAGCTTGTAACAGTAGTGGTTGCAGGCGGTGTGCGTCAAAATAGTGAATACCTGGGATGAGCAAAATTCGCCGATCTTTGGTGGCTTGATGAAAATACATCTTGCTTCCTCTGAGCCTATGCACCAGAACGGGGCAGCCATTGTAGGAAGCACACAACCAAAGCGGAGAACGATATCCATCGCCGGCATAGCCGTAAAGGTATTCCCTATCTATGGAGCACGGAAAGAAGCTGCTTGCCGTGAGGCGGTGGTCACGACTGTGGGAGGCTAGCGCTGCAGTGACTTCCTGTGTGAGCCGCAGCTTTGATTTCTGTGCTATGACCAATCGAAACCTTTCAAGAGATCGTACGCCATTCACGGTCACTACCATAGCAATGGCAAGAGGCGGTTTGTCTTGGGAGCTAAACGGTGTATCTAGGCCCACTCAAGGACCGCTTCTGCATCAGATGGCACGTGCTTGGGCTCATGGACTGGACAGTGCGATCTTTAAGGGTATAGTACCCGTAATGGTATACTGCAAGTGTCTGCGCCATCCCAATCAGCCCAGCCATATCAATGGGGGAGACAATGTACGTATGCTGGATGGCTCGAGTGAGCGCGACAGTGGCTCGTCCAAAGCAATCCTCTTTGTCTTCTGCCGTTGCACCTCGCCGTCCCCCACTGAGGAAACCACATCCTATCTGGACTACTACTGCCATTCGTGCCGTGGCTCCTGCTGCTGACGAGGTAGTGGCAATCCGCAGACCACCAAACCAAGCAGCCTGGAAGCCATGCTGCAGCAGTTGTGTGTGCACTGCCGTGCGATTACACATGACGAGGAGCTGCGCCGTCGCTCCTTGATTGAGGTCTCGATAACACCTTTGCAGGTAGTTGAGAAATACCACAATATCCTCAATAGCAGCCAGGAGGTCTCTGGAGTGTCTAGGTACTTCCCATAGCACCATACGGAATCCTCCCTGCCCAACCGTGTAATCATGGGGGACAAAATGGCCTATTTGGATGAGATCCTGATCATGTAGCACCAATTCCGGGTACCGGACAGCGACGATGGCTTTATGCGTCAACAGGGACACTCTGGAGCTGTTAGGCGGTATGATGCCCCATCGATGCGGACCATCCAGGCCGGCTGCTTCAATCGTGGTTGTACACTCAGGGATGCCGAATTCTTCTGGCGCAGTTGCAATAAGCAAGACAGCCAGTATTGCAGAAATCAAGCAACTCTGAACATTCAGGTGGCTAAGCGTTTTCTCACTGAAAAGGCGCGCCAAGGAGATTGGTAAATGTTGGGCAGTTGTCGCCGTTACCCAAGTCCCTGTATGCGGTGCTTGGCCGAGGTTGAGTAGCCGCGCCACTTCAGAGTCGTTGTCCTGGCTTGCATCAGGCCACAGGTGCAATTAACTTGGTGAGCCGGGCAGGTGGCAGATAATCGCCAGGGCGATTCAAAGCTCGTAGCCCCAGGGGACGGTGAAGAAGCTTTTGTCTGTTCGCTGCTGCCGCCCTTCCCTTGGATAGACCTCCTGGTGTTTGCCTATGGTCACCGACAAACACTAACAGTGCTGGTTGCTGGATTGCAGCAAGAGCGGCAATTTCATGGTAGTTGCCGTGCTGTTGACTTTCATCCATAAATGCAAGCCAGACTTTAGAGAGCCAGAGACTAAAGGACGAGTATTTCATGGCCATTTCCGCCGTAGCAGAGCCTCCAGTCGCAATCAAGATGCGTTTCTCAGCAATAACCTTATTGCGATCACTGCATCGAACATCAATTTTTGTTGCATATGCCTCGCCTTTACCTTCCTCGATGCGACCTAGTAGCCGTCCAAAGGCACTTCGTGTGGGTGGAGCTAGGTCACTGATTTGGTCCGCCAAGGCTTTTGCAGCAACATTTTCTTTGGTGTACACTATTGCATAGAAATCACTGAGCTCGCAGCTGAGGGCAATTAGCAAAACCGCCAAAGAACGCGTCTTGCCGGCACCAAAAACGCCTGCGATGCACAGGTCAGAACGGCCAGTGAGGATCGCCAGGAGCAATGCTACTGCAACAGTAAGGACGTGCTCATCCCCATGCGCTGCCAATGGGAGTAGGCTGTCGCGCATATACTAGGGAGGCCCTTTTGAGCGAAGCCGGTTTTGAGAAGGTTTTCCGGACCCAGAATTGGGTCCGTCGGAGGAAGCTGTTTTGTAGATGATTTGGTTTCTTGTTGGGGCAAGCGGGGTGCATATCGGTTGCTGCTTGAACCCAGTTGAAGGTAACTTTTTATTATTTCGTTTCGTCTGGTGGCTTGATTGTTTGCTGCTAAAAGAAGGCGCATCAGCCTTTTGCAGCCTTAGGTAATTGCTTGAAGTGTTTCTTGCTGTTGCGGAGTTTGTGGGTTTTCGCGAAGGTGGCCGGCTTCCATTTGAATGATTGTATTGAATACTTTACTGCCCCTTGTTGGCCTCCCTTGCCCCTCTAGACTCATACCGAAGTTTGCAGCCCAGAAAGAACATGAATTATGATCTTTTCAGTCAATCCCGTTATTAATTAATAGTATTAATTTAAAACGGGATGGAGTAAGAATCTGCTTAGGGAAAGATGTGGGCAGGTGAAGTATTGAAGGCTCTCTTACTCCGCCATCGTTTCGATATCGTGTCAATTACATTGGGTAATTGAATTAAAACATGCCACGGAGTAGCGGAGTAGCGCGGAGTAGCGACGGATTGGTGAATGTTGCCTAGGTGGTGCTGCATTGCAATCGCCGCATTGGAGCTAGGGAACGGAGACAGCTGATACCACATGTGCGCTTTCAGGTTCCATTTCTGGGGCCGGAAAGTCAATTGAAATCAGGCTTCGCATGTGCGGGCCTCCTCTGTTCCAACTCTATATGCTTGTTGCTTAACTAAACGCAGTTGTCATTTTTTGTTCGTTGCCCGGGTCGGCCTTTGCTGTTGATTTTGCGATTTTGCGGTCTCATTTTTGGTACCGCCAGACGGTCCCAAAAATGAGACCGTGAAAGTGCTTTTCTTTTGTTTTTTTACTAAGCGGCGCATGCGGTCCCAAAAATGGGACCGCCAGGCGGTCCCATTTTTGGGACCGTGTTTAGGTTCATTTTTCGAAGTTTGTTGTACAGTATCAAGGTTGCAGAAGCGCAACGATTTGGTTTCAATGAAGCTTTGTGGCGTATGGCGGCCGGAAGGGCAACTAGGGAGGTCCTTTTGAGCGAAGCCGGTTTTGAGAAGGTTTTCCGGACCCAGAATTGGGTCCGTCGGAGGAAGCTGTTTTGTAGATGATTTGGTTTCTTGTTGGGGCAAGCGGGGTGCATATCGGTTGCTGCTTGAACCCAGTTGAAGGTAGCTTTTTATTATTTCGTTTCGTCTGGTGGCTTGATTGTTTGCTGCTAAAAGAAGGCGCATCAGCCTTTTGCAGCCTTAGGTGATTGCTTGAAGTGTTTCTTGCTGTTGCGGAGTTTGTGGTTTTCGCGAAGGTGGCCGGCTTCCATTTGAATGATTGTATTGAATACTTTACTGCCCCTTGTTGGCCCCCCTTGCCCCTCTAGACTCCTACCGAAGTTTTCAGCCCAGAAAGAACATGAATTATGATCTTTTCAGTCAATCCCGTTATTAATTAATAGTATAAATTTAAAACGGGATGGAGTAAGAATCTGCTTAGGGAAAGATGTGGGAAGGTGAAGTATTGAAGGCTTTCTTACTCCGCCATCGTTTCGATATCGTGTCAATTACCTTGGGTAATTGAATTAAAACATAGCACGG